CCATGGCTACATTATTCACTGCAAAATCACCATGGCTACATTATTCACTGCAAAATCACCATGGCTACATTATTCACTGCAAAATCACCATGGCTACATTTCAAAGCATCCGAGTTTCTGCGCCGCTCCCTCCCAACTCACTCCGGCAGTCTATTGACCGCTCACGCCTTTCTCTCTGCCTCTGTCTCCTTCTGTATTTTCCTCACAGGTTTTACCCAGAATGCTGTGGCAGCAAAGAGAGATGGACAGCGATGATTCCTCTCTATGTTATGCAAGACACACACACACACACACACCTGCCGTTCTCTGAGCTGCTGACATGTGGAAGGACTTTTAAAGCGAGGCCATTGTACTGACAGAGACACCAGCTGTTTGAAAGAAAGCGAGAAATCCTCCACGTTCTGAAACAGGCAGAAAAACAGGGAAGTTAACTCATTAGCTCCTGCCGCTGGAGTCAGAGGTCTGCTCATCGTTTGCTCTCTCCATCTGTAAGTGTGCTTGTTTTCTCTCAGTGTTTGCAGCTCTTTCTTACACCAGCTCAAGGTCAATAGCTGCAGATTAACTGAGAAGCATCCTTACGTAACGGTGGGTTTGTGCAGAGCTCAGATCATCTCAGGATTCACACACATTTCTAGTTAATATATATGCACTTCATTTTCTCTTTCTGAACCTTTCACAGACGGCCTGACGGACGTCTTCTTCCACTCCTCTTTCTCTCTGCCTCTCTCATTCATTTCGGGGCACGTCTGCACTACTTTGTAATTTTTCACTGGGAATTTGGAGAGAAGTGTGACATTTTAACGGGCTTGTTAGAGTCCCGTCCTCTCCCAGAAAACTCTCTTTTGAATACTAAACGGATTTTCCTCTCTTCAGTGAAAGAAAGGCCTAAACGTCTCACTTAGAAGGACGTTCTGAGCTCCTGTTGAGATACAAAAGACTTGTCTCCTATTCAATAACTTCATGGATGTTTTTTTTTTTCACGAAGCTTAGATTTGAACAGATCAGAAGCTTTTAACACTCTTCAGGTTTTGCAATAAATATTTACTATTTATTTCTGACGAGTCCTAAATGCGGCGCGTTTTGTTTCAAAGTGAATCCTGGTTGCACGCTTGTTTGCTGGAGAAAAACAAGCAAGCGAACCGCACGGAGCTCGGCTAGGTCAATATTAATTACCAAAGTTGTTGAGCATACAGCAGCTGCTGTAAACAAATGCAAATGCATTTTCATATCAAACAAGATCCCTCGGCTCGCACATGGATTCTGATGCTTGCTGGAAGTCAGGATGATCCACATACGGCCATTTCAAAGAAGCAATCTGTGAAATCATCATCCACTTTCTCATTTAACAACGGGAGAAAACTATTGGACCATAGTCGAGCAATTTATTATTTCCTCCCCGTTTGGGTTTGGCAGCGAGCAGCAATGAGAAATAGATGAGGGAAGCCATCGCAGCGGAGATTTTAATTGACTTCCGATTCATCTGGAGCAATTGTAAAAATATTGAGGATTTTAAAGGGAAAGTGCACCCAGAAATGACCATTTGACCCATATGAGCTTTTGCCTTTAAGCTTTTTAGATATTTAGCAGAATGTTCAAGCTGCTCTTTTTCACAGTGAGGAACTTTAGGTATCGCAACAGTCAAAGCCCTACGATAAGATTGTGTGAGGATGAGTGAAAGTTAATGACTTTTGCCCAATGGAAAAGAACAGTCTACTAAATAATGCCTTCTGTGTTTTACAGCAAAAGTTGTGACACACAATTGTCATGTTTAGGTCAACAGAAAAAGAAAAAAAAAAAAAGTTGTGAAAATATTCCTTTGGTTGGGTCCAGGGTCATTATAGTTAATTAAAACAATCAATCAATCAATCAATAAATAAATGTTTGTACTTGAAATAAAATAAACATTAACTGAAATAAAAAATATAAACATCTATTTAAAAAAACTTTTTATTTCAGCAACAAGTTGTATCAACATTTCTCTTTTTTTTTTAGTTTAACTTGATGCACTAAAATAACTACAGCTAAAATTAAAACCATTAAAACATTGATACTTAAAATAAAATAAATTAAATTAAATAAAAAAATATATATATTTAAAAAAGTTTTAAAAATGCTAAAATAGTGTAGCGTCTGCGTAGGATCATGCATGATCTTTGGGGTTTTATGGCTTAAGAGACCTTTTTAGCCTTTTGACATTTGCATATAAATTACAGTTCTGGTCAGAGACTTTACGTTTGATGGACCGAGAGAGAGAGAGTAGTTAGTGTGTTAGTAGAAAGAGGACTAGTTAGTGTTTGTAACACATACCTGCAAACTCCCGACCGGTGGTCTAGAGCAGGGTTGTTATTGTTATTAAAACCATTTCAAACAAAACAAAACAAAAAAATAAAAAAATTAATTAAGTAATTAATTAATTAATTAATTAAAAATAAAATAAAATAAAATAAAATAAAATAAAATAAAAGTTTACGTTGATGCACTAAAACTACTAACTGGAAATAAATGAACAACTAAAACTAAACTAAAAGTGAAACTAAAATAAAAATAAATTAAACGTTAAAAGTAATATAAAACAAACATGAATAAATAAAAAATAAATAAAATAAAAATGACAAAAGTACACAACAAAATGACTAAAAATTAAGCAAAAACGGAAATTAAAACTGAAAATATAAAAATAAATCTACTTCAAAATACTAATAAAAACTACAATAGTGTAAAAAAAAAATATATATATATATATATATATATATATGGGATTTGATTGTATTAATATATATCATTATTTCACAAATAATATAATAATTTATTTAAGTATATAATAATTTAATTTTATATATACAAATAAAACATGCTTCATTCAATTCGATTATTTTCTCTCTTTATTTGTAACTTGATGGACACAAACCAAAGATTATTTTCATAACAAATTAATAAATCCATCTGAAATCAATGCAAAAACACCAGCCGACTAAAAAACGCACCAGACTCTGAGTTCGTCCTCATCTTAACTCATCTCATATGTTTGCATTCCTCCATGTTTCTCAGGTCACTCTTTTTTTAGCATGAAAGATAAGAATGTTATCATTTATTGAGGGCGCGTCACTCTGCCTCGCTAACACCAGCGATCGTGGAGATGTCGCGAGTGTGTGTAGTACACTAGACGGCACAATGGGCCTATAGAGCTGAATGACATGATTGAGAGCCATTCAGAAAGGTTTGTTTCTCTGTTGAAAGACAAGTAAAACACAATGCTCTTGAATAGGGACATCTTCAAGTGCATTTTGAGGGTCCTCTTGTACATTGACTGTTCAATATATTTTATTCAAATATAATTAAATATTATTTAATGACACTATAGTTCATTTATGTCAGTGAGGAGAGCAAAATAAAGTAAACTGTGACATATTAAACCCAAAAATTATTCATACAGTGGACAACCAGTACAATTGATTAAAAAAAAATTGGGACCAAAAATTATTCAGACACTTTGACCTTGCTTCAGTGTTATCTGACATCATCCAGATGAATTTGTTCTGACACAGTTTAACTCTGAGTTCTTGTCATTATTTACCATTCTCTAAACTATAGCCAATAAACTGTGATAATGTGTGGGCCTGAACAAAAGCAGCAGATGGGCTGAATGAAAACTCATCAGATTCGCAGAAACCACGTGAAGGGCCTGTTTCAGTGTCAGAACGGAGAGTTTGCAGATAAAGCAGCTGAAGCGAGTGAGGGCAAGAAGCAGAGCGATCTACCGCTGCGTTCACCTGGGGACCGGCTCGACATGATTCCCATTAAATTGTTAATTACATTCTAGGAGCTCAGCATAAAACACACATGGCTCAAGATCAGACGGAAATCATCTGCAGACACGGGGATGCTTCTGGGAAACCGGCAGCTCGTAAAGTGTTTGTGTTGGGGTGAGCACTGCGCCGGCAGATGAAGAAACCAGCGCGCCGGAGACCGTCTTATTCCCACAGCCAATCACAACTCAGCAAACACTAAAGTAGTGCGCCGGGACGATGGGAGAAGAAGCAATCAGACGGCTGTGAAGGAACCGATGCCAAGAAGACTTTAACCTCTAGCTGCTGTCTGTTTGACGACCCACAGATCAACTCAAGACCGGACAGAAGAAACAGACTCCAGAGATTAAACTAACAACTGAACTGAAATTATTTCAGTGATTAATCAGATATTATACAAATCTTGCTGTCCCTCTTCAAAATAAGTGCAAATTAAAGTATATATAAAGCATGATATTAATTATGCCTAATATATAATAATAATATATATACAAAAATCGAACCGTACGGTTCTCCACACACGGTTCTGCACGCGCTAGGACCGCGGTTCAACTTAAATCTGACAACGCATCTGTATGCTGGAATATGAGCATTTATTCCGTCATCACTGATAGCGCGCGGGCACAGGTGAGACCTGAACAGCACACGTTGATATCTGTGTTTAAGCTAAACTCATTTAAGCTTTGCCAGTTTAAACATTTAAGAGCCAGAGGACGCGAGCTTGACCGCGCAGTGAGAAGATTTGTGCGTGTGCTCATCCGAAGCGCATGAACCTGCGTCTCAGAACACACGCAAATATTAAGCTCTCTCTGAAGTACTGTGTTTAAATGAACAAATTCACACAAAAAGTATGTCAAAATGCCCGGCTTGGTAAGTATCCTGTAGCAGACATAGCCGGCTGAACGTACTTAGTGTCTTAAAGTGACAGCACTTTCTTAATGTTAATTAAACAGCAACAACAAATATTTTTACATTTTATCCACAATTTGGGGTATTTTATCCATAATTTGAGGGGAAAATGGTAGACCATCAATATTGCCCTAACTACTGTCTGAACAAACTATTTTAAATGTTGCATGTATTGCAGCACGAATGAATGAATGAATGCTTAGCAATCTTTCATCATGCTATATTATCACCAAATATTAGATTCAGTCTTTTTAATCAACTTGTTTTCTGTCAATTAGAACAGATTGTATTGTATTGTTTTTGTTGTTGTTGGAACTAACTGACCGCAGGTCTCATTGATTAGTTTATGCACATCAGTTTTTGAGTGTAAAAAGCATTATTTGTGGATAATTTTGGCAAAGTTCAATTTTAGTAAGATACTGTATAAACACAGCATAATGAGAAATTTATTTTTTTATATATTTTTTTTTTTGGGAAGTATTTATATCCTGTGTGAGCAAAATCAATAAGCTTTAGCATTTTCAGTAAAAAGACATTTACTCTCATGTCATGCAAACTTATATGACCTTCTTTCTTCTGTGGAACGTAAAGATAGTTTGAGAAAGCGTTTGTTTGTTTTTTGTTTTTTTTGTCCACACAATGTAAGTCAATGGTGACCAAAACTGTTTAGTTACTAACATCCTTCAAAACATCCTTCTTTCAGGAGAAACAAAGTCATACAGGTTTGTAACGTAAATGATGACCGAATGATCATTTTTAGGTGAACTAGTCCTTTAAGTGTCACATAAACCATATATGAGGATATAACCATTACAGATGACACACTTCCGCAGCGCTGACTGAAAATCTCCTCAAGAAGAAATCGCTGCAGTTCTTACTGAATGTGAGCGCAAAACAATCCTGCTAATAAATATTAAGCATTATAATGTAGAACAGTGAAAATGACACGATAGTTTTTGTTTAATCTTCATTAGACGTACAGAAGCAGACAGGAGTGGTGCACCGCGGAGCATTAATATCACTTAACTAGCAATCGATACGACTGGATATTGATCAGACTCGTCGTGAGAATCGCATATACATGATCGTGCTCATTATTGGGCCTTCACAGAAGCATTTTATGACCAATCCTCAAGATGTGCAACAACATCAACAGTGTTGGGGGTAACGTATTACAAGTAACACCAGTTACGTAATCAGATTACTTTTTTCAAGTAACTAGTAAAGTAAGAACACATTACTTTCCATAAAAAGTAACTAAGTAACGTAATGAGTTATTTTTTATGGAGTAACGCAACATTGTAACGCATTACTTTTAAAAGTAACTTTCCCCAGCATTGAACATCAATCAAACACCAAGCCTGCGATCTCCGGAAGTCTAACGCATAATAACACAGATTACTATAAAGCACATATACAGAACATAATAACAGTGCTTCGATATCCGGCATCCGTTCCGAGCAATAATATCTCAGTTATGAATATTGGACTGCCGTCTCATATAGATGATATGTATTCTATAGGAGAATATAGAATCTATTTGCTAGATTAAAGCACCGCTCGGGTTCGATACGGCTTAAGCTCTATTGACAGCGTTTGTGGCAAATTGTCGATCATCAGAAAATAACTTGTTCCTCGGTTTATTTAAAAAAAAAACGCAACAATCAGGCACTTAGAGCAGAATTACACCAGCAAACGACCAGCCAATTTGTGAGGTTAACTAGTTTTAGATTTGTCTTATTTATTTTGTTTTGATTTTTTTTGCACATTTGATTTAATTAGTGTTCTGTGCTTATTCTGCTGTTAACTTGAAAAGTAAAACCATATTTGGGTTTTATGTTACATCTTCTGTTGTTTAATGAAAGTGTATTGCATTATTTAAGTGTTTTCTGTATATTCTGTATATTCTTCTGTATATTAGGATATACTGCTTGTAAATTACAGTTTTATACTGTAAAATTTACAGGTTGTTCTGTAAATATGTTTACATTTTTATTGTATTTTTTAAATAATTATTCTGACAACCACAGCTGACAGGATTGTTTTTTTTTCCCAATATGTTTGAAAGATATAAAATAAATGAATAGGCAAGGTAATTGCATTTCTTTGATATTTTACCATAATATTTTGAAATGAAATCTGAGAGAATTAGCTCGAGCCAACGCTTCAATAACTTCATAAAATGTCAGTAAACATAATCCATATAAAAATCAAGCGGTTTAATCCTAGACTTCTGAAGACACACGGCCACTTTATATAAGGATTATTAAATTAAATAGATTTAATTTAGGTTTTTAGGCATTACAACATAAAGAAAACAATTCCCATTATTACTGAATAATTCATGCTATAACAAAATATGAAACTCTGTGAGTTACTGTAAGTGGGATTTTTCCTTGAAAAAATAAAATAAGTGAAAATGTCAAAATTATTTTTTGACTGTAAATGCTGCTGACAGATCTTTTAAATTATTATTATTATTATTATTTCATGTTTTTGAAAGAAGATTTGTTTGTGTGTGTTTGAAAGAAGTCCCTTCTGATCAACAGGGCTGCATTTATTAGATCGAAAATACAGTAAAAATTGTGAAATATTATTACAATTTAAAACAGCTGTTTTCTATGTGAATATCTGTTAAACTGTAATTTATTTCTGTGATGCGCAGCTGTATTTTCAGCATCATTACTGCAGTCTTCAGTGTCACATGATCTTCAGAAATCATTCTAATATGCTGATATTTTTGTGGAAACTGATGCACTACTATTAAAAGTTTGAGATACGTAAGATTTAAAAAAGAAAAAGAAATTAATACTTTTATTCACCAAGGACGCATTAAACTGATCAAAAGTCACAGTAATGTTACAAAAGATTTCTATTTCAAATAAATGCTGTTCTTTTGAACTTTCTGTTCATCTGTGAATCCTGAAAAATAAAATGCATCACAGTTTCCACAAAAATATTGTGCAGCACAACTGTTTTCAACATTGATAATAATCAGAAATGTTTCTTGAGCAGCAAATCAGCATATTAGAATGATTTCTGAAGATCATGTGACACTGAAGACTGGAGTAATGATGCTGGAAATTCATAGCAATACATTACAGTTTAACAGAGATTGACGAAGAGAATATTTGTGTGATTTGAGGCGCAGCTCTCTGATTGGTTACCTGCGACTTGCATCAGCATGGCTGCGCTGCCGTACGTCTGAACCCTGACGAAACACGAGTAGCTTCCCTCATCCGCCACACGCACTCTCCTCAGCAGCAGTGAGACGTTTCCGGACACAAGCTGATCTGGGAACAGGCTGGTGCGGTTGGAGAAGCGCTCCTCCTGATCGCTCAGCTGATCGCGGCTCTGCCAGAAGCTGTGAACGGCACGCTTGGTGTCCGAGAGCTGCCAGAACACACTCAGATCAGACAGATTAAACTCTGAGACGCCCAAGAAAGAGCAGTTGAGGACGGCGTCCGACCCGAACAGAGCCACCGCAGGGGATTCTGGGACACGGACGTCAAGAGCTGCAGAGAGAGAGAGAGAGAGAGACAGAGAGAGAGAGACACAGAGAGAGAGAGAGAGAGAGAGAGAGAGAGAGAGAGAGAGAGAGACAGAGAGAGAGAGACACAGAGAGAGAGAGAGAGAGAGAGAGAGAGAGAGAGCACAGGCATTAGGAATCATACATTCATTGATCTCGTCAGATAAAACAGCTTGATGAATAATGAAAACATATTGTACGTTTCAGAGCTCAAAACTTCCTCATCAGAGCAAAAAGAGCTTTTATTGAAACTGGACTGCAAATATCAAAAAGTCAAGGTTCATCTGGTTAGGATCATCCAGTAGAACTTATGCAAAAACCATTTGTGACCCTGGACCACAAAACCAGTCATAAGGGTCAATTTCTCGAAATGTAGGTTTATACATCATCTGAAAGCTGAATAAATAAGCTTTCCATTGATGTATGGTTTGTTAGGATATTTGGCCGAGATACAACTATTTGAAAATCTGGAATCTGAGGGTGCAAAAAAATCTAAATATTGAGAAAATCCAAATGAAAAAAGTTGTCCAAATGAAGTTCTTAGCAAAACATATTACTAATCAAAAATTAAGTTTTGATATATTTACGGTAGGAAATTTACAAAATATCTCCATGAAACACGATCTTTACTTAATATCCTAACGGTTTTTGGCATAAAAGAAAAATCGATAATTGTGACCCATACAATGTTTTTTTGGCTTTTGCTACAAATATACCCCAGCGACTTAACACTGCTTTTGTGCTCCAGGGTCACAAAAGGTGTGATTGTTGTGTGTGTGAGTCAAATTAAAATTATTTGCATGGTGCTTTTCGCAATATGCATCATATCAAAGCAGCTTTACAGAAAATAATGATGTTAATGTTTATACTATCTTAATATTTTTCAGATTACAGATGTGCGATAAAATAGTTGACATTTTGTTCATTTTGCCCTATTGTGTGTGTGTGTGTGTGTGTGTGTGAGAGTGTGAGAGTGAGAGAGTGTGTGAGAGTGTGAGTGTGAGAGTGTGTGTGTGAGAGTGAGTGAGTGTGTGTGTGTGTGAGAGT